AGTCATTTCTACACGTATGTTCCAATATGTTCCAATCATTTCTACGTGTTTTAAACTTTTTGTTTTTTTGTCATTTTCTTTCATTTTCTTTTCTTTTGTTTTATTTTTCTTTTTTTTTTGTCCATTTTTGAACGTCATTCTTCTTTCCGTTTAATGACGTATGTTTCTGACGTATGAATAGAGTCTTTCGCTTGAAAAAGTAAAAGTAATTTATCAATTTTAAAAAAAAAAGTGGGAGGAAAATATAAAGTTTAGCAAGATTTCTTAAATTTTTAATTAGATGCACAATTTTTACACCTTTACATTGTTCATTCATTCATTCATTCATTCATCATTCATCCTCAATTGTTCATTAAGCCATTCATTCCTCCTCATTCACTCATACATTTCTCATTCAGTCATTCATCCCTCCTCATTCATTCTTCCCCACCCATTCATTCATTCACTCATTCATTCCTCTTCATTCATTTATTCATTAATAATTATATGTATGTATGTATGTACATATATATGCATATATATGTATATGTTATATATATGTGTGTGTATGTGTGTGTGTGTGTGTGTATATGTGTGTGTGTGTGTATGTGTGTGTGTGTGTGTATATGTGTGTGTGTGTGTATGTGTGTGTGTGTGTACGTGTCCACATGTTAATGTAGGAGCAACTGTATATATATGCCCACTTATTCATACTATTTAAAAGCGGAAAAAAGGAATGGATGAATGAATACAAGAGAGACCAGTTTAGGCACAGCCTAGTTAAGAAAGAGAAAAGTCCAGTTTCGGTATAGTTTAGTTAAGAGAGAGATGAGATTAGTTTAGATAGAGCCTAGTTAAGAGAGAGACAAGACTAGTCTAGATATAGCCTTGTTATGTCTAGTCTAATCATTTATTTTTTCCTCCTTCCTAAACATCGATTTTGTCTTAGTCTGAATTATGTATGTATGTCCATCCCACTCTTCCAAATCTGAAATGTATTCGTTGTCATTCTTTCCGACCTTTCCTATTCTGTCCGGTATTCTCCATTATTTACTTATTCTTTTACTTATTATTGATCTAACTATCTCTTGTATTAAAAGTTTTCCGTTCACTCATATGCGTGTATGTGTGGGTGTGTCTATATGTGTCTGTATATAACTGTGGGGGTGGATGTGGTTAAGGCGTATTTTAAGTATATTTATGTCTAACGCACGCATGTGACATGACATGCGTAAGTTGCGCGTATGTACGCATGCATTTGCATGGGCACATACAAGTATGTGGGTGTACGTGTGTACGTATGTCTGGGATATTTGTTTTGTGTACATGAGTAAGAAAAGCAATAAAAGATGGTGTGGATGTGTGTGAGGTGTTTGTGTGGGTACATGTGTAAGTGGATGTGCGTGGGTGGGCGTGTGTGGGTGTGTGTATATCAGGTGTAAATGTGTGCATATGCGTTAGTATAAACAGCAGGTGGTATATGTGGGTGTATATAAATATGCGGATGTGTATATTTGTGGCATAAGTTTATTTTGTTTCCGTTATTTAATATAATAATAGTAATAATAATAATATTAATAATATTAATAATATTAATATTGATAATATTAATAATGATAATAATAATAATAATAATAAAAATAAAATAATAATAATAATAATAATAATAATAATAACAATAATAATAATAATGATAATAACAATAATAGTAATAGTAATAGGCAATGTGTATGCGGACATGGATATATGTATGTACGTATGTAGGAAGAAGTTTGTTTTGTATTTATGGATATAAATAACGATGATGATAATAGAAAGGCATATATGAATAGATATAAACAATCAATAATGATAATAGAACAATGCATGTACAAATATAAACAAACAATAATTATAATAGAAAGATGGCATAATGCTAATGGCAATGATAATGATAACAGATTCTAATGTTTATTATTGGAAATTAATATTTGCCTGTCTATCTAAATGATAATAGATAAATGGATATTAATTTGAATAATGGATAAAAAATACAGAAATGAATAATCAAAAAGTTTTAATGACAATATTATATAATTTCAATATATTAGAGGAAATAAATGTGCTTGAGAAGAGTTACAAATAATAGCTAATAAAAAACAGTGATAATGAGAAAAGGGAAATGAAAATGCTTAGGAAAGCTACAATTTTTAAAATGAGGAGGTGGAGGGGGCGGTAAGGAGTAAAAAGCATTTAAGCGCTAAAGGGAGGGGAGGGGGCGGTAAAGGACAAAAAGCATTTAAGCGTTAATAAATGCATTATCATCAATCATTTATTACATAATTTATCGATTAAAATCATCATTTAGAGCGAATGCTTTACAATTATAAAAAAAAAGAGAAATTTAAGGAGAAAAAAATAAATTGTAAATTTTTCTTTTCATTTTTTTCGTTAATTTATACTAG